CAGAGTTACAGTATGGAAGCTTGCTTCATTAAATGGAATATGTCCATTTTATTGTGTGAAATACTTTATTATGCAACTCTTGTAAAATGTTGGGTTTGATAGCTGCAGCTGTATTTACTGAATGTCATGGCAAGGCCTTGATTTTGGAGTACCTTTAAGTGATCTGATGTCCTTTCAGGATACATGTGGTGTATCTGTCCACAGACCTGCTTGTATTTGCTTCAAACTGGGCAGTTAATCATGCACTCGCATACTCTTTTAAATCCATATGCTCAAACTGGAGAGAGCCCATTTTGAGTTTCCATGCAAAAGGATCCTCAGGCACTTACTGTAAACAAATATATCCAAAAGTGTTGTGGGTGCTGTGGGTTATAAACATTGTCTTCATACAATTAATAAAACCCTTTTTGAGCCTCTTGATTTTGAAGATCAGGTTTCTTCCAGGGGCTGTTTTTCTGGCAGCAGTAACTTTACCTTCAGGAATTCATGAACTGCTGGTGCTGTGACTCATTCACCCAGTTCTAAGTTAACCTGTTGACTTCTGCCTCCTTTGCCATTTACACGTGCCGGAACATACTGGCAATATATTTAGATATACTGTGTATTTCATAAGGATTTGTTTCAGAGTTGTCTGAAAACGGTGGTACAGCTAACAGAATGGAGGTAACAGCAAAAAATAAAATATAAAAGAAATACATAGTACATCTGAAGTTCCACATGCTGTAATGCTATTAACTTTTGCTCTGCTTTCTTACCTTTTCTATTAAAGCCTGACTTCGCTAATTGGATTTTTAAAAGTCTGCCCAGCTAGACCATCTAACAGCATACCTGGTAGCTTGTGTCCTTTATTATTATAGGTCTGATTTCAGAGGCATGAAGTAGCTTTGCAGGCTGACATGGGGAACGTCTATCCTGTATGCTCCCTATTACTGTGGTACTGGGAGCACCTAAATAATGTGCTCATCCGCACAGTACACCTGGGAGGTTAGTATTTGTAACTCAATCAAAGTTCATGCAGGCAGTCTTTACTGGATCTGGGAACTGAGCCTAAGTTGTTTGATTTCTCTCCCTTTACATACTGTTTGCATGTTTAGCACATACTTGGCTTGTGTATTCTTTTATATCTGGTTCCTAATGTTGCTTTTTATAGACTCTTCGATTTTCAGGAAGCACTGAACCACTAACATTACAGATGACTGAACTGGGGGGGACATGGGAATCTAGAAACAGATTATGCAGTGGTTCTCAACCTTCTTAGACTGAAGGTGCACCTTGAAAAATGCCAGCTGTTAACTTTTCACTTGTGTTTTTGACTACAAATTAGTAGAGCAGTTCTTCTGAACTGGAGAACTCAGAAAGACACAATAGATCAAAATGCTTTTAGCACTATGAATTCTCATTTTAAATCTCTGCTAATGTTGCATGGCACCTAGCTCCCTTTAAAGGATCTCAAGGCACCTTGAGAAGTACTGAGATAATGAAATGTATTGCCTGTACTTTTCCAGGAAACTGAAAAACACACTCTTTATACTTTTTGCACAAGACTTGACATCAGACAAACTTTTTGCTTTTGAAGGGGAGTTAACTTACAGTCAGCCAATTGAGTATCTAGTGACACATATATTAGACCATCTATTATTATGACTGATGCACAACATTCAGGGTACCTAAAGTCAGTCTCCTTTATTGCTAAGGATTTTTGGAGATGCTGAATAGCTAGAACCATCAGAAACAGAAGTCAGTGGACAGTCCAGGTACTTAGAATCTCTGAAAATAAAGCTATTTTTAATTAGGAACTCAAATATGATGACTCTGATGTGATAAGCATTGTATTGACTGTTCTGCCTTGAGTTAAGGGTGCCAGGAATTTCTAGGAGTAGCTTGTGTGCCAGAAGCCAGGTGATCCAGGAGTAAAGAATCCTCAGTAAATGCAAATTTATGAAAATTAAACATACAGATTTCATGCTGAAGGCAAGATTTTTTCAAAACTGGTTAAGTGATTTTTTTTTTTTGAGTGGCTGAATTGAGACAGCCCTTTTTAATCATTTGTGAAAATGTAGACTGTTCCTTTATTGCTAAATAACTTAGAAGTTTCTAATAAAATAGGGTAGACAAGTTCTGCAGCAGCCTGAGCGCTTGAAAGCTTTTGTAAGAAGTAAATTAGCTGTTGATTGCTGTTTAGCTTACTACTTTTTCAGGGATGTGTTGTGTCAATCAATGTGGTGTGTCAAACAACGATGTGATACCAAAAACTGGGACCATGCCTCTGTGCTGCTTTAAACTCGCTTGTTAAACTAGTGGGCTTTCTTCTTGGGGGAGGGGGGCAGGAAATATATGCTGGCTCTGGACTCTTGAAGTAAGGAGAAAAGATTCTCTTGCATCTCACAACATTGGATAAATAGACAGGACTCCTGGTTTCTGTTTCTAGGTTTTCCACATTACCCTGGACAAGACGACCCAAACACAACTTGATAGTTGTGTTTAGAAAAGTTCAGATTGTAACACATGCCTTTTCAAATCTATTTCACTGCTTTTCCTTTTTATTTAATACCAATTGATTTTTCTACCATAGATCTTACATGCAAAAGGAAAGTGAAATCCATTTTTAAGTAGTTTGACTGTAAAAATAACAAATAGTAGTAAGTAGCAAGACTTGGAGAGGGAAAAACTAAATTACTTTTTTTCTGAGTAGTTTTTGAGTTAATGAAGTGTCATTAATATTTCTGGGCTTCAGATTCCTTATCCATTAGATGGAGTTGATCATTTATTACTTTGCAGGGGTTTTGAAGGCCTGCTTCATTTTGTCAGGAGCTTTGCTGTCCTTTGTACTATGCCCTTGATTCAGCAGATCACTTTAGCTTTTGTTTAAATTCCATTTAACTCAGTAGAACTTAAATGCTTTCCTGAATTGGGGCCTAGGCAATTAAATATTGTTTTATATATTATATTGCTGTAGCTGCCCTCTGTCAAATATCTGATCTATTTCATAAAATAAAAAGGAGAGGTAGAAAATGATTCCAAGTAAGGTTCTTCATAATCTTATTGTGGATTCCTCGTGCTTTCTTTGTGTTCATCAGTGCATCCAAGAAGGCATCTGCTCTAATTGCCTTCCTTTAACATGTCATTAGTAAGGCCAGTGACTGTTGCTAGACCTGCTTACAGCCTGCAGAGATCTTGTCTCTAGCTGTTTTTATTACAGCCTGTTGTAAAGTGTCTTTTCACATGCATAATTGCACAGAATTTGAATCCTCTCATTCCCTTTGCTGTCCCTACAATTGCAAGACAGAGAGAACTTCTCTACAGACAAATTGTCTTTTGGACCCAGCCCCTCACTGTTGCCAAGTGTGATTGTTTTGAAATTGTAAGTTGGAACTGTTTTATGTCTAAGACATCTCCTTTAAAGACAGCTTTTCAACTTCTTGCATATAAGAATGGCTATTAAAAATGGTGTAGTTCATAATTAAGATGCATGGGCCAGAATCTGTGCATTGTGGTACATGTTTAAAATGCCCGTGGCATAAAAGTGCTAAATATTCTGTACTTGAATAGGTTGAAAAAGTGTGAGTATCACAGCGTGACAAGTTTGACTTATTTCAGTTACAAATTGACTTTGTTTGACTTATTTCAGTTACTTGGGCAGAGATGACAATTTGCCTCTTTACCTTTAATGCTAAGACAGTGTGGAGTAGGCTGTTCTCCTCATCATGTGCTTGTCAGTATAACTTAGAATCTGTGAGACTTTTTTTTTTCCTCATTGCTACAGTGTAGAGCTGGAAGTGCACTTTGACATTTTTAGAGGAAACTAAAGAGCAAGAACTGAGCTGGTCTATACAGTACTAGACAGTGGGTGTGTAAAACATGCTGCTCAGCATGACTTGGAGTACTTGCTTTGAATTCTGTGAAATGGGGGGCAGGATCTGCCAGTCTGTGTGCACTCCATCTGCTGATAAAGCAAAGGGTGGTACATTTAGAGAGCCTCTCTCTCTTTAGCAGGTTAATCTTCACAGAGCCTTTCTGGCTGATATATCCAAAGAGGGCTCATCTAGCTCATGCTTCAGGAGATGTAAGGGATACCCAATCGCAGTGTCTGGAGTGCTTTCTAACATACATGTGTGAATACAGTGATTGTTTAAGCAAATGTCTTTCTGTATGCAGTCTGATGATAACACGTGAGTGCAAAAGTTAGAAGCCAGCTCATGTAGTGTAACTTGTGTGAGGAAATCTCTGGAGTAAATGTCTCTTACAAATGTAAAAAAAACAAACCCAAAACTGCACAACTCGCCCATTTCACAAAAGAAGGCAGTTTATTTTGTGTAGTTTTAATAATGTATACTTCAATATTATCTTTAGCCTAACATGTATTTCTGGAGCCTTAATGGTTCATGCATTTCAGCCAATAATGTCTTTGGCCTTTTCCATTACAATATAAACATATCTATATGTAAACAGTTGCACTTCGAAAGCTTCACAAATCTTACTATTCTCTACATTAGCCTAAGTTAAAATTGTGTGTCTGAGTACTTTGCTTATATAAATCTGCCACTTAGGTCTCCGTCTTTACGAAGAAAAAATAAGTAATTTATATTTGTAATCTATTTTCTATTTGCAATATATGTACCTCCTGTTTTGCCGTCTTCCTTCTCATACCAAAAGTCTTCCTCAAATCCTAATCAGCTGTCAGACTTCCCTTATATGTTAGCTATCCTAAACTTCACCTAGTAGAACAAGTTTATTCCAGGTGGGTTGTAACCTTTGTGGTCTTAATTTTACCTGGAGTGTGTGAAAATGGTCAAACCATTAAAAATGTGACTCGCCATAAAAACAGCTTGCCCAATAGCATGTGTTGTGAATTAACCAATCCTTCTCTGACACATTCATGTTTAATAGAAAACACAGCAACAAGATGATAGCATGACAACAGCAGCAGCTGCACAAAAGCATCTTCCCATGTGTAACAAGTTACAGGATTGGAGCCATCTGACACTACCAACATGTTTAGCATCTGAATCTGACTTAAATCCCAAGTTTTGAGAGCATACTATGTTGAAAGTTTTAACTTGTTTTCAGGTCCCCTGAAGATTAGAGGGAGAAGGAATTTCAGTCTAGTATTGAAGAATGAATGCGTGCATGTCTGCTCATGCAATTTGAATGTTGTTTCATAAATTGTTTGATTTTGACAGAGAGAAGGAGCAGGAAAGGGAAGAACAGTTAATGGAAGACAAGAAAAGGAAGAAAGAGGATAAGAAAAAGAAGGAATCTGCTCAGAAGGTAACTTTTGATATTTCAGTTCTCCCTTCCCCTAGATGTTGGGTATGCTGAATCATGTTCAGCAAGTATTTTCCTTTTGTTTTTTTTTAAACCTGATTCTTCGTAAAAATGTTTCCCTTTCTGAAATAAGATGGTGCCTGATTTTTTGTATTAGTTCACTTAAAGTGCAAGTTCTACAGTACGTTTGGAGTTTCTTTTGTTATTTTAGAAGTCTGGGGGAGGAAAAAATTACTACCTATGATAATCAAAAGCACTAGTACTCTGAAGGTGCTGCATACTGATCCTTCTGATCTTTGCACCTTCAGCTATTCATTCACACTTGTGAAATTGTCTAGCAGCTCAAAACTCATGTTTTGGAGAGTAAAAATAAGCGTGGAAGTTTTATTTCAAGGACCCACAGAGGAGTGGGAGTAAGTGGAGTATTTAGTAATACCCCCCTCCCCCCACCATTTCTGCTTTTAAAAAAAATAATTTCAACATTTGCTCTAGAAAACCATTTCATGTAACACTTGCTGAAATGTGCTAGTTTGCGAAGATTGGGACAGGTGAATTGTAACCAGTTGTTACCAAAAATGGTTTCCAGGGCAAAATTTAAAAAAAACTTTTCAGGAACGGACTACAAAAACAAAAATCTTGTACAAGTGTGGCCTGTATGCAATGTTACCATTTGTTTTGGTTTTTTAATATACACACCTGTTTAAACTCAAGAGCAGAAAGCTACCCTAGTGTATGCTGACTTGCTGTCTTTTAGTTCCTTAAGCACCAGAAAAGCCTGTCGTTGAGGAAGATCTCTGCTGGTTTCATTTCTATGCACTTAATAAATTCCTGCTGAGGGAGGGCTCTGCTGAAATTTTGTCTTGCAAGTTTCATTTTGTTCCAATTTTGGTTTTTTGTAACTTAAATTTTTGTACTAATTTAACTGCATTGGTTCATCTATTTATAATTTTAACAATTGATTTAATTATATCATTTCAGTCCCTAGTGTGGCTGCAGTTAAATTTAAGTGCCAATAGTATAAAAGTATTAATACCAATATATCTTGTTCCAGTAAATTGCTGGAAGATCTGGTTGGTTTTATCCAAAGATCATAACAAGAGACATCCATGCCTGCAAAATAGGGTTTCTTTATACCACCTAACAATTTCACTTCCTTATCACTACTTAACCATGAGATCTCTAAAACAATGCAAATTGCATATTTCAAGTAATGATGTCCACAGACAAGAACTGCTTCATTTGTACCCTGTAAGAAGAAATAGCCTGAGGGAAGTATACTGGTATTCAGTGTTATAATAGTAATTTGGAGATTTGTTACAAAAAATCAAGCTGCTCTTTTAAACTTCCCTAGAAACTCTCAGGTACTGAGAGGGGGAAGCAAGGAAAGAAGTATCCAATTAAACTTTTTCAGAAAACTTTTGGAGCTTGATAACTTCATTGTTGGAACTTGTTCAGGGCTCAGAACTCTAAATGCTGTTTTTACCATGCTGCACACTGCCTGTCTGAAAAGGCAGTCGTACTGCCTCTAGTAGCTGGCAGTTATCTTGTCCAAATCCTGGGTGAAGTGACCCCTGCATGTGTGTCTGCCTTCTAGAAGCCAGTCTGAAAATACTTGGGAGTAAGGGGGCAAAAGTCTTTTAAACTAGAGCACTGTATATTCATACTGAGTAACGTTTGTACAGTAGCTGGGAAACAGTTATTAGGACTGCTACGGTTTCTTTTTTAGACAGTGTTCATAATGGTAGGGAGGTTATTCAAATGAGTATTTTTTGTATGAAATATTTTTTTACTGGCTAATGATACCTGGTTCATAGCAGGAGTCTTACATGCAGTTCTACATAAGAAAATGCCTGCTGTTTGATTTTTTGATTAAAATTATAAACAAGTGGCTGGAGGATTTTTTGGGGGGGGGGGGGGGGGGGGGG